TCTACCTTCTCCCGGTGTTATTATTAATAATTAAAGAATTATTATATTATTTGAGCCCCACCAAATGGTATTCTATCCTAACAGTTTAATTAAACATGTAAGAACAGACATTTGGAATTTAACAAACTATGTAGTTTAAAACTTGACATACAGCTTTATTTACTACAATGAAATTACCAGTTTGTTGATTTACACAAACAGTGACTGGTTAATGAAAGTGATACGCTTCAGCGAGACAAACAGCTCGGGGTTTAGAGTGGTATGATAATGATGATAAAAGGTTAACATAAAGGGGTTAACTCTACTTATAAGCCTCTGACAGCCGTGAGGAACTGTCAAGCTTGTCCAACTCTTCCTTGCCTGTTGTCTGCCTGTTTCAGCTTATTCTCCACTTCCTCCCCACCTCGTTCTCCACATCGTTCTCCATCTCGTTCCCAGCTGGCCGAGTCTAACACAATGTAGGCTACTTCATGGACTGATCGTCACATGGGCGCTGGGAACTTTTCCATCTATCGCCAAACCAGAGTACGACAGTAAAATATACCTTTACGTCGACCTGTTTGTTTGCCGGCAGGCTGCGATTAATGACGGGAATTCCACAGGCTCGAAGTATAAGTATCAATCTATTGTCCAAATTAAACTCCTCCCTTTCCTGGGTTTTTACCCAACCCTCAAGATGATGGCTTAAGCACCGCCCCTGAGGTAACTATCAGATCACTTGGCTAACCAGTGAGCTGTCACTCACAGTGAACGGCCTACAGTACGACCTTGACCAAGATAAACCATTCCTAATTGCCAAACACCTGTTCTCTCCAGAATTACACTGACGTGTTAAACTCCGACTCCGACGCCTCCGGCTCCACCATGTCTAGCGTCTACTCAATTCCCCTGTTCAAAAGGGCCCCGCTCAGTCTCTACAGTCTGGTCAGGAGATAACATTCTGACACTGGCGTGAGAATCCAACCTCACATCCCTAGTCTGAACCAGCGGGCTGTATTACGTAGTGTTAGGTAATTTTAAACAAAGCGCAGTGGCTTTGTTTGGGAGAAGGACTGGTAACATTTAAATCAATTTGGTTTAAAGTAATATGAGGGTAAAGGGCAGAGTAAATATAATCCTGTCTCTTTAGAACCAGAAGAACTTATTACAAGTACTAACTTCTGGAATCACTGAGATCGTCTCGTGACACCATCGGAATTGCAACTCTTCGTTTGCTGCTGTAGATGGAGACGGAGCGCCTAAGAGGGTGTCCCGAGTGCTGTGATGTCGATTCTTAATTCAACATTCTGTCGTGTCTGCGTGATGTTCACAAACCCAGTCTGGTTTCAGCCGTGACCTGGCCCAATTTTGCTATATCGCTGTAGCCGACTATCAGGAGTTTAGTGTCTCTCGTAGGGCTGCCAATACTTGGGTTTCCCCACAAGATCTGGGTTTTTAGATGACGCTTCCGCTTCAGATTTAGAATCTTGGGTTTAAAAAAAAAATAATTCTAATGTAAAAGTGGGTAAATGTTTTGTTTAGTAACCATAAAATGTGCACTTTTCATCAATCTTGGGTTTTATTTTTGTTTTTATTATTTGTTTATGTATTACTTGTGTTTTTTTTGGTCAGCTTAGCTTGGGTTTTGATAAAAAAAAAACATTGGTAGCCCTGGTCTCTCCAAATCCAGCCGCACTTCGGGTCAGTTAAGCCCGTTTTCTCGGTGTTAGGACATACACAGGGGTACAGTCGTCAGTGCCACGTGGACCGCCTACACCGGCTGTCACCCATGGATTTCATTGGATAAATCGATCCACCAAATGCGACCCGGTGACACGATTCGATAAATCGACCTTGAACCCCGACAGGTTTGCTGGGAAATGAACTCGTGGCCGATGTGTCGGTAGTTGAATGGGTGACCAATACACCACCGACATTCAACACACAGGGCAGCTGCAGGTTGGATGAACAGCTGGAAGGCTGAGCTCTCAAGGAGGAGACCCGGGTTCGAATCCGCCAGTGTACGCTTTTATGAGCCTGAGGTTTTAGTGCTGTCGCCACTACTGTGCAGGTGAGGATTTTTCCCCCTACAGTGCCTGAAAACATTTCCAGCCTTACCGAGGATTCGAACCCGGGTCTCCTGTGTGAGAGCTCAGCCTTCCAATCGCTCTACCAGCCGCTCCTCAATATATCATTAGCATACAGAAAGTCGAAAACATGCCAGGAGTATCATACAAAATGCTGTCTGTATCACACAAAATGCTGTCTGTATCACACAAAATGCTGTCTGTATCACACAAAATGCTGTCTGTATCACACAAAATGCTGTCTGTTACACACAAAATGCTGTCTGTATCACACACAATGCTGTCTGTTACACACACAATGCTGTCTGTATCACACACAATGCTGTCTGTATCACACAAAATGCTGTCTGTATCACACACAATGCTGTCTGTATCACACACAATGCTGTCTGTAACACACAAAATGCTGTCTGTTACACACACAATGCTGTCTGTATCACACAAAATGCTGTCTGTATCACACACAATGCTGTCTGTCTCACACAAAATGCTGTCTGTATCACACACAATGCTGTCTGTATCACACACAATGCTGTCTGTAACCCACAAATCTGTCTGTTATCTGTCTGTATCACACACAATGCTGTCTGTATCACACAAAATGCTGTCTGTATCACACACAATGCTGTCTGTATCACACACAATGCTGTCTGTATCACACAAAATGCTGTCTGTATCACACACAATGCTGTCTGTATCACACAAAATGCTGTCTGTATGACACAAAATGCTGTCTGTATTACACAAAATGCTGTCTGTATCACACACAAATCACACAATGCTGTCTGTTCGCACACATGCTGTCTGTATCGCACAAAATGCTGTCTGTATGACACAAAATGCTGTCTGTATTACACAAAATGCTGTCTGTTACACATAAAATGCTGTCTGTTTCACACAAAATGCTGTCTGTATCACACAAAATGCTGTCTGTATGACACAAAATGCTGTCTGTTACACATAAAATGCTGTCATTTACACATAAAATGCTGTCTGTTACACACAAAATGCTGTCTGTATCACACAAAAGGCTGTCTGTTACACATAAAACTGTCTGTATCACACACAATGCTGTCTGTATCACACACAATGCTGTCTGTATCACACACAATGTTGTTACCTATGGACCCCAAATAGACTAACTGATCCAGATGACAGATGAAACTGACAACTCAACAACTTCCCGCCCCAACCTGCTGTCCTTGTGCTTCACGTTTCAACATCACAACAAAACATATCCGTGGACATATCCCATTAATCCTCCATTAGTCACGTGGGGCATGGAATAAAGTGCTCTATAATTAATTGATGCCGTCACGGTTGGCGGGCCGCCTAATTGTTGGTACCCTCACACTCCAGAAAGTTAGGTAAAACAGACTATAGATAACAGATCCACTCGTCTGTGAGCTAGCTGGCTCGGCCAAGTGTCATCCCCTCGGCCTGTTTGTACCTTGGTTGTCGGGACTTCCCGCATCTTTTGTAAGCTTTTATTACGTTCGGTTTTGTTTGTTTGTCTGGTTAAGTTTTTGCGTTCGATTTTATAACTACGCATTTGTTAATAAACGTTTGCCCGACATTTCAGGGCCGCTGGTCATAAAAGGTTTTCAGATTAGGCTGTTTTAGTTGAATATGACGTCGGGTTGCGGGATTTAGTCGCGCAGTTTCCGATTGGAACTGATGGGTAACGGTACTCATTGGCGCCTGTTAGTGAATGGCTGGTCTCGTACATATTTCCTCAATAAGTAAGGCTGAGCCCATAACTTTGTTTTCAGTTTATTGTCTGGTGCCCTCTGATCTCGGTTCAGCTAGTGTTTAAAGACGAAAAAATCGGTTTCCTGGCACTCTGTTTGAAACGTCGCAAAAGTAACGATACTATGTCTCTCCGGCAACGACCCACAAAGCTTTCTGAGAGGAACACCTTCACTCGCGAATTGAAGGATGGGAAACAAAACCACATCCATTTTTCAGGTCAGACTCACAAAATAGGCCCCCGGAGCAAAGATGTGCAACCAGCCCTGTCTACTCAACCAGCATATATCCTGTGCCCATCTTCGTGCTGGTCTCCCCCCCCCCCTCCCCATTCCTGACACAATGCCTTCTGCTATTTTTTTTTAATCCGCTGTTGTGCTTGATATGGCCAACATATTCCAGCTTCCGAGACAAGATGCTGTTTATTAGCCATTCTTTTTTGATTTTCAGATCTTTTAGGGTGTAGGTATTTCTCTCCCCCCCCCCCCCCCCCCCCCGTTCATGATATTCTGGGAATCTTTCCGTTGCACTTGAGCTCAAAGGCTCCATTTTCTTCCTTGAGAACTGCGAAATAGTCCACGACTCATATCCTTATGTTACTACAGTGAAAATGCATGCTCTCAAAATTTAAGAACTAACGAGGTACAAGTTTTAGTCGAGGTTTCAACGTTACTGCAATCGGGTTTCCCCATATTTGCTCCGTTTCCTGTGCCGGTGCAAATCAAATGAAATTTCCCTGACTGTCTCGTTTCAAAAACTGGTGAACAAACAATTAGTTCCGGAACAATCCAGAAATGTGTGCACGCAGTAAATGAGTATTTCAGTTGCTAGAGGCGCCAAAGCCAACAGTCGCCACCAGAAATTCAGTTTGTTGTTGATGGAAGTAGTCGGGAACTATAAGTTGGTTACTATACACATGTAGATTTATTACATAAGGTATTTCACTAACCCACACTAAACGGGATACCGGCCATACTGAATACTACAACACAGCCGTTGCACAAATGAAAGGCATTCCACGTGAAAAACACAGCTCACAGTGCTGCAACCATGCACTAAACTCGCCCTTGAGTTAAAAAAGTCCTTGTTTTCTAGACGCATGGCCACCTCCATGTTTAGATGATTGACCTAACACTCAAGTGCTCCATGATGTATGTATTCTAACAGGATGGGTCCGAGCGGCCCATGGAGTCACTGTCCCTGATTGATGCTGTTATGCCGGACGTGGTGGAGTCTCGCAAACAAGCCTTTTCTAAGAACACCCAGGTCAAGGCGGAAGCCAGTAACACAAACGGGGAGGTCGCAGCTCACGCTGTAGGTGAGTACACTAGTTCTAATCTGCATGTCTGTCTGTCTGTCTGTCTGGCCAATTGTTAGTCGTTAGTTTAGGTTCCAATATCGCTGCAGACAGGTTCCCCCATGACTGGAAATCTCACAGAGTGTCACTAACTGTCCCATTTCACTATCTGAAAACTAGGGAAAGCCAGCAAAATCGTGAGGCTTTCACTCGCAAACTAAAAATGCACAAAGCAGCTGTCGGATGTGCCAACACTAACGGTCACACAACTGAAATGCAACTTTCTGTTGGCGGATATCGCCAGTCACGAAAGCTGGCGATGCACACACAAATTGCAATTAACAAAACACATGAATTGGGTTAGCAGTTGGATTGGGGTTAGGGGCCAGTTCTGCATGTTCTAGGACTGTTAAAAGCGCTCAGATCGCGAAATATAGAACACGCGATATCGCCGGCGGGTGACCGCAAAGCGTACAAGGCTACGTGTTTGTGACCGGTCAGTAAGCGTACACCCCTCTAACATAGGACAGGTCCCGCTACACGGCGATTTATTTGAAGGGAAGTCACTCTCTCCATAGTCCCGAAAATGTGAGCTGTACCGATTCATCAATTGATGTCAACTGTATGTTGCGCATTCTCATGCATGCTCATTCCTCTAGCCCAAGCCGAAACAAGATGTAGGTTAGTTCGATGTTTTTCTCCCCATTTACACACTCTAACACACTAGCTCACTTCTGATTGGTCGACCTTCAGCCTAGCTCACTTCGGATTGGTCAACCTTGAGCCATGCTACCTTGCCTTAAAGTGATGGGGGTTTTCCGCAATAAGAACTAACGAGTCAAAAGTCTTAGTGTAGTCGATGATTCAACTTCACTGCAATCGGGTTTCACCTTACTTGCTCCGATCCTCTGCCAGGGAAATCAAATCAAACGGCAAAAATCAGGTCCAGGTAAAAGACAAAAGTGCAAGCGGACGATTAACCTGACCTTCCGTCGGAATTCACAGCCGGTGAACGAAGAAGAAGAAAAAGAAAAATCAAATGATATCGCGTGTTCTATATTTCTCAACACGGCAGCGCTTTAAACACTCCAAAAACATGGACAAACTGGGTCTAACTCAACTCCCTTAGAGTGTGCTGAAATCTATGTCACAGACATTCTCTTTCTGTGAATAAATAAAAATTATTGCAAGACTTCAAGGGATCCAAAACAAGAGAGCGGGACACACCCTTAACTTCCACTAAAGTGGACCAGCCCAACAAAGTTGTCAATGAAAACTGACCTACTTTGTTTGGGAAGACTAATGACGAACTGAATCAAAATATATAGAGAAAAAAAAAAGACCTTCAACAAAAATCTAATTAAGGTTCACACGGGGGTCAATATCAGTGTTAAAAAAAAAATTGTCCCTTCGAGAGAGATTCGATCACATGACCTTCTAGTAGCTAAATATGACATGAAATGTCAGGAATAATCATCCTGAAATAGACGGAACTATATATTTTACTTAAAGAGCAAATGTGAAATTCAAACACGAACGTATAACCAAGAAACGTTTGCTATGTAAGGTCAAAAAACAAACAAACAAGAAACGAGAGAGATCGATTGACGAATTCAAAGGAAAGGCCAAAAACAAAAAAATGTCAGATGCGACGTGACAGTTTGGAAACGTTCATGTTACAATATTTGTTTTCTATTTTTCTGTTAAATAAAGACGGATGCAAACTTTGGAATGCATTTTTTTTTCGAGCTGCCGGGCTGCATTTACACACATTTGCTAGCTAGGATCCTGAAATACTTAAGTTAGATTTATAACTCCAAATGTTGCCTGGCTACTCTTTCCGATTTGCAACTGCCAAGGTATTTTTTACGTGCGGAACATTACACACGGGCCTCCGATCTTACTACCCAGAGATCAGGGGAAATTTCTAAAGTAATTTAAAAAAGTCACAGCCGTCACTGGGGCTTGAACCCGGGACCTCTAGCACTCGAGGCGGACGCCATACCTCGAAACCACTCAGACCCATACTACAGAAAGTGCTGAGATTGACAAGAACAGAGATGAGAAGATGCTTTGTTGTCTGGCGTGGGCGATCGTGTCTCTCCACAATCTACGATCTCCAGCAGCATGTACCAGTTCTTATGCCGACACACCTCCATGCCATGCAACAAGACTGTCAAGAATCTTCTCTCGTTGTCTTCCTCTATCCCTCCTTCCACAGATCTTTCCAGTTGTCACAACATGTTCCATTTTCCCTCTTCGCATAACATGGCCGAAAAATGCTGACTGTCTCCTTCTGATGTTTGTGATAAGTTTTCTTCCGGCTCCCGCCTCTTTCAAAACCTCTTGGTTGCTCTTTTTGGCTGTCCAAGGTATTTTGAGCATTCTTCTGTAAAACCACATCTCTGAGGCCTCAAGATATTCTTTGGCCTGCCTACCGATTGTCCAGGACTCACAATTCTTTTTCTAACCGTAAACGACAAAGATATATTGCTTGAGATGCTTTTCATTTTATAAAATGCAGTGTTTGTCTGACTTATTCTGTTTCTTATCTCAGTAATGCATCTTCCATCTGATGTTATCCATGTGCCCAGATACTTTAATTTCTGAACTTGTCACAATATTTGTACCTGTCGCACTAGCAGCGGATAATGTTACACTGAGATATGAAGTGTCCAGTTACGTTCACCAGCCTCCACAAACAATCACTGGTCACAAACCAGAGACTGGCAGAAAGCAGAAATGGCTGTAGACATGACAACAACGGCATGCGTCCTTGTTAACCCGGTGTCGGCATCCATTCAGTGTTGCCACTTTTCTTTGACAAAAAACATCCAAAACGGAGTCAAAAATATCTAAAATATCTAAATTTGCGTGGAAAACATATAAAAAACATCCAGATGGAAAGAGACAAAATTACATAGCAATTGGTATGACTTACCCTATAGAATCATATCCTCATCTTTACAGAAGTCTGCCTTACAAGATCCACAGGATAAACTTAGCTTGGATGATGAAGATAAAGCTTCAGATCCAAAATGACTCTGGTGTGCTTTAGCTGTTTCAATTTCTTTCAATACTCAATCAGGGAGCTGATAAGTGGAACAGCCTTTTCCTACTCTTATCAGGCGGAATTGTATTGTCAAGATAGCATTTAGGAGTTCGAACTTCATCCTGTTTCTTAGGTTACATTTTATATTTCACTCCAAATGAAAAACATATAGAAAACATCTACCATCTAAACGTCAAAAATGCCATCTAAATGCAAAGGAAAACATCTAAATTTGATTGTAAAACATCCAAAGCGGCAACACTGCATTCATTATGTCAGCATTATGTCATCCATTAGGTCGGTTAGCAACCGGTAGGTCACACCTTGTCCACGCGAGGCCCAGTTTGTCCGCATGTGGTGTTGCGGTCGTCTTAACGACCGATCAATAGCCAGATGATAGCACTAGAAATAGCAGCACTCCGGATGGTGACAGAGATAGGGGACACGCCAGTTGGGGTAATTTCCGCATATCAGAAGCAGGATACGGCAGACAAAAACAATCACTATCTTCTAACGTGTCAATAAACTTGGGCACATAGAACACATCCCAGCATTGTACGAGTGGCGCAATGAAAACGAACTAAATTTAACCGAAGCTTGAGCTATAGTCTGCCCCAACAGTCGTGAAGGGCCTGTTTCTGTACTTTTTATTTAGTTCGCCTCATCTCAGGGGACTCTCGAGATTTCGTGGGGAAAGTTCTTGGGAAAGTCCAATATTATGGAAAAGAAGGGGGTTGGGGGTTAGGGTTCGTGTTAGTTGGTATTAATTTCACATCCCAACACCCTTATACTATTGAACTTTCCCGGAAACTCCCCCACGAACTTCCCCACCCAGTATATTCGCAGTGTTCTTTTGTCCACCTAGTATATTCGCAGTGTTCTTTTGTCCACCAGTATATATTCGCAGTGTTCTTTTGTCCACCTAGTATATTCGCAGTTGTTCTTTTGTCCACCTAGTATATTCGCAGTTGTTCTTTTGTCCACCTAGTATATTCGCAGTTGTTCTTTTGTCCACCTAGTATATTCGCAGTGTTCTTTTGTCCACCCAGTATATTCGCAGTGTTCTTTTGTCCACCCAGTATATTCGCAGTGTTCTTTTGTCCACCCAGTATATTCGCAGTGTTCTTTTGTCCACCCAGTATATTCGCAGTTGTTCTTTTGTCCACCTAGTATATTCGCAGTGTTCTTTTGTCCACCCATTTCCAGCTCAGAATAATAATGGGATGTCCAGTTTTCAGTCCAAGGTATTGTGGTCACACGCAGACTGCTGGTTCCTTTGCCTCTCAGGCAGATGTACTCTGTCTTCGAAGGAAGCTCCCTAATTAGTCGACTCTTACGGCATGCTTATGGGCAGGCATCGGGTCTGTTCTTGTTCCCCCCCCCCACAATGGGGCCCCAGAACCCATACGGGGGATCTATTCATTTAACTCCGAAAAACTTATGTTCGCTTACGTTGCACAGCTGAGTGGAACTACTTCTTGGCCCTTCAGCTGGAGAAGGCCTTGACTCTACCAGATGACGGGTCATGCTGCTGACGTCACCGGGTCGGGCTAACGATGCGTTAACTTAGCGGTTCTCATACAAGAAATAAACTATTTTTGACAGTGGCGAGGAAAGACAACTTGCATTTTAATGTCGATTGCCTTCTTTAATAATTTCTTAATTTTTAGCCATCTTTTCTTGATTATTGCCGTGGCACCCCTGGCATACCCTCACGGCACCCCGGGGTGCCTCGCTACCCAGTTTGGGAACCGCTGCGTTAACACATCGTTAGCCCGACCCAGTGACGTCAGCAGCATGGTCTGTCAGCTGGAGCCGGTTGTGACTCTACTCACTGCGAGGTCGGACTAAACTGGCTCTAGGGCGGCACACCCTAACGTTGTAAACCTTGCCTGTTTAAGTGACTGCCCGCGGTTTGAATCCGACCCGCAAATGCTTAGTAAGTGCTACTCATCAAAGATAAAGGTGA